GTTCAATATCATTGAACTTAGTTCACTTTCTTATGTTATCACACATGCATATAATCTTATATGTCCTATCAATACCATATAAGCTTACATATATATTCATATATATTCTTTCATATAATCCATATAGTAATGACATATACTCATATGACCTAATAATTTCACCTGACTATATCTTATGTTCATTTCCATGCTTAAATCATATAACACCTAAGTCTTCCTTATATAGTTCATGCTTCATATTCATATCCTATAAGTAAATGCTACTTATCTTATCTCATTTCCACTTTATACCAGTTTACATGGTTTGTTACACTAACCTATACAATAACATATAACCTATATTTGTTTAATTCAGTTTTATATAACTCCTATAACATTCTCATAGGGTTTTATAGTTCTTCATTCTATAACTCCTATATCATAATTTCCTTTAAGTATATAAAACTTTCCTATAATGCTTATCCTATAGGTTCGTATCATCATTTATGTTCATGTCTCCCTAATTTATATACTATTCTAGCAGAGTCTCATAATTCATTATCTTATGGTTTATATTTTGTTCTCTTAAGTCTTCTCCTAGACATATATTTACATGACTCATCACTTATACATAGCTTATATTACATTCTTATGTAGCACATTTATCTTGTCACATGGCTTACCTCTGATGATCATATAATTACATAACTTATTTTATATTCCTATTATCACATAATAGTATTTTACATAAATCATGTAGCACATACAAAACATATCAACACATATAGTCATGCATACATACAAATCATGTCATTCGCATACTTATATTCATAACTTCATGTACTAGAATTATAAGAAATAGACTTATCACAAGTCTAATTTCCATGTACTCCTATATCAAAATAAGACGCACTCACCTGGCCTCACTAGTCAATACTAATCTCTTTCTCGACGACTACTACTTGGTTAAATTGTTCATACTTTGCTCTCGATCGTTATCTACATGAATATATAATCCAATAAGTATCAGAATTCAAATTACTTGCAAAGGTTCTTACTATTGCAATCTAATCAAAGTACTAATCTCTAATTTCCAACTCAAGTAGTATCGGTACTACAAGCACAATATTGATACCTCTATGCTTGTAGTATCGATACTCTTCCACGGTATCGATACCCACTTTCAATTCGATGATCCTTATTTTCAAAATGGTACTGATACTTGCTAGATGGTATCGATACCCCCAGTATCGATAATGTTACTTTGGTATCGATACTCTCTGAACAATTTATAAATTTGTGCCTTATGGTATCGATACTCATTCAACCAGTATCGATACCCATGCTTCAAATAACACTTATTTCCTCTTTGAAGTATCGGTACTGGATGAACAGTATCGATACCCCTTGCCCATAATACACTTCTTTAACCCGAAAATCTTACCAAACTTACTTAATTCTTCTACCATAACCTCATTTTAACCCTTTAAGCTTAACTACACTTATTCAGACCATCTTATATCACTTTAAAACATCTAAACGTTCAACATCTCATTAGAATTCTTAGAACTAAGAATCTTGCTTAATTTTTCTCTATGTTCTTAATTCACTACTATTACTTATAACTTCTTAATTCCACCCTTGACAAGTCAAATTTCACTTCAAAACTTATTTACTAACTCTTTCTCAATAATTCCCTTAAAAACTTCTTATCTTTAATCATTTCCAACTCCTTCATCTTTTAGTTTTAAGACAACTTAAGCTTAAGTATCATCTAAAGAACATAAACCAATCTTAAAATTAAGAAATTATCAACCATTATGGAACTAACCTTAATAACTGAGGTACACAGCTGAAGGAGGAAGAAGACTCTGGAAAATCTTGAGTTTTGCTTCCTCAAACTCCACGTGGTTACTATATAACCATAACCAAATAATTATATTAGTTGTCAAATGACCATTATACCCTTCAATCTTTTCATCTCTACCAATCAATCCTGTTAAATAAAATTCATAATTAAGTCCTTAAACTTTTAAATTTTCATAATTTGATCACCAAATTTCAAAAAACTTTCATTTTAGTCTCTAACTCTATTTTAGGATATTATGGTTTGGGGTTCCCATCTGTTATTAATATCTTATGTGTTTATATAAAACATACTAATAACATAAAACATAGAGTTCACCATGAACATGCTCCTCAAGCTTTAGTCTCAACTTTCATGCTATAATACACTTCTAATAACCCACTAAAGAGTATAAAGAGTTGTAAGTGTGGTTACCTTGAATTTCTTGGCTAATAGCAAAACCTCTAACTCACTCAAGAGGTGCCTTCTCTTTACCCTTAGCTTTCTAACTCTCTCCTACCTCTTTCAGTGAACAAGGTAGAAAATTGATTACTAGTTTAACTAGATGCTCGAAACAATTTAAATACACTCTCCATAATTCAAATCCACCTAAAAGACCTCCAAAACCCATTTTGGAAATTATAGTCGAAATCTTATAATATGGAGCTTAAAATGAAGCTTGAAGGATGGTGATTCATATTCTTACCTTAGCTTAACCAAACTAGAATGGAAATACTTGAATTCTTGACTTTTGAAAGGAAGAGGAATGAAAAATGATGAAAGGAATAAGAAGAAAGTTTGGTAAGATATTATGGCAAAGTGGTTCATGCAACCCAACTTAAAAATAAGGGGTTTTTATCTTTCAAAATAAAAATGGGTAAATTACACTTTTAATCCCTTTGACTCCATAATCAAACAAAATCACCATTATCCGTTGGGCCTAACTCCAGCCCAAACCTTAATTAGCTAAATCCATATATTTTATTGGGTCATTGGTTTGGTTTATGGGTTTCAGGTTGACCCGAACTACTAACCCGAATTTCGGGATGTTAATATTACAGTATGTTTCACATAACATGTTCACTAAATAACAACATGCTTCATACTTTTACTAGGAAAAAAATCAACATGTTTGACTATTTTAAACAATTCAACATACTCAAACACACTTTCCTATAATTTTAAGCAGACGAACATACCTACAATACAAGTTTATACTATTAGTCAACTCTTTCTTGGCAACACACAATTTGTATATATTTTTATATATAGAAAAAAAAAAAGGATGTACCAACAATTTTCTTGGCAACAACACAACAATGCTTTCACTTTGTGTGTGAACTCCACGCAAACCTATAAGAAATAAAGCATTAGATTCAGTCTTGGGTAAAAAAAACAGGAAATATAAATTTCATATTACCTCTTAAAAGTTCTGCCTGGATTCATATTTTCCAAACTAGATTACTAAGTGTTTGATTTCAAAACGTGAGTTTTCAGTTTCAGCAGTAACCCTAAACCTCAAATCATTTTTATTTTAAATTTTAATGGGTTATATTTAGGGTTTGATAGAAACAAACACAAAAAAGAAAGCAAACACTAAGAACAATAATCAAAACTCAAAGGAGAAAAAAGAAATCGAGGAAGAATGGAGGAGGAGGGGATGAGATTTTTTAGAAGAGAAAGGGGGAAATGATAAACGATAGAGAAGGAGAGAAGGAATAAGGTGGCGTTTGGTTCGCTAGAATGTTTATGAGGAAATTGGAATCTGTGAAGGAATTGTAATCTGTCAGGAATTGGAATCCAATTCTATATTTGTTTGGTTCACATACATTTCAGATGAATTTGATTTCAGTAATGTAAAATGACAGAATTGTCCTTGTTATTTTTTTGCTTTATTTTAGTTTGTTTTACAACTTACATGTAGTAATATATTATAAAAAATTAAAAAATATTAAATTTTCATTTTATTGATTGATTATTCATTTCAATAAATTATAAAAATCATACTAATAAACATCATAAGTTAAAATCATCGCAATCAAAATATGTTAATAAGTCACCAAAAGATAGAACAATATTTCGATACATTCCAATAGAAATATGTTAATTAGTTACCAAAAAATATACCAAAAACTATTTTTATTCAATATAAGAATTAGAAACTTGACCTGACACGACACAAAATAATAAAAAAAATTATTTTTATTCAATAAAAACATTGACTTAATTGAAAAATAATTATATATAGAGGGGTATTATTGTAATTATTCATAAATATATAAGGTAAAATTATATATTTTTTCGGGTCGGTCTGGTTTTTTTCACCCTAAACCCGAACCCGACCCCACCCGACCCGAATATCACACTTAAAAAAACCCGACCCGACTCGACCCGAATATCACACTTAAAAAACCCGACCCGAATATCACACTTAAAAAAACCGACGACCTGACTAAAATAAAGTTTCACCCGACCCGACCCGAAAATATGAATTAGAAACCCAACCCGAAATAATAAAAAAATATTTTTATTCAATATATGAATAAGTTACCAAAAGATTGATGAGGGTAGTATGGTCAAATTTTAATTCCCTCCAACAAGGGAATCGAATTCCATCAATTCTTGGATAGAATTCACTTTCCCTCATTTGATGGAAAGTTGAAGCCATGAGGGATTCTAATTCCCTTGGAAAACTTGAACCAAACATGAGAATGTGGTGGAATTGGATTCCAATTCCCTCCAATTCCAAGGGATTTCATCCAACCAAACGCCACCTAACTCTTGAGGATTTACTTTCTAGGTTAAAAATTTTGTTTTAATGTTAATATTAAAATATTACTTTTAATATTTTAATCATTTTATTTTTAATATGTTCAAAATTAAAAAAACCTGAAAAAAAATTAAAATAGCAACCTGTGTCATCAAATGAATGGTTAACAAATTTTATGTAACGACCGTTATGACCAAGACACCTAACCTAGTAAAGATTGTAACATTAGACACTTAAATAAGACGAAAATTAGTTTAGGTACCTGTTTGAGAAAAATCGTATACTTTAGACACTTGTTTTGATATTAAGCCTAAAAATAATATTAAAAATATGTGAAATGATAGGCAAATAAAAAAGAATTTTGAAAAAAAAAATTAAAATTGAGGGCAAGCTTAAAAACACGATCGTCACTTCAGAAAACTGAACTTACCTAACAGTGAAAGTAGTGCGATAACTCCCATGGCGGCTTCTCCAAATAACCTACTTTCTGAAACTAAAATCCTAGACTCCGCCACCCAAAACCCCCAATACAACGGCCAAGATTCAACCCAAGTAGACCCCCAACCTCTACACGAAGCAATCCCACAGTCCGATCCCCAATCAACGATCGACGCCAATCCTGGAGAGAAACGCAAGCGAGAGGACCAAGTCTCGAACATGAACTCGTCTACCCACCCTCAGTGGAAAACCTCCCTTTGCTCTTACTTCAGGCGTCAAGATGGGTCCTGCAGCCATGGTAGCACGTGCAGGTACGCCCACGGCGAGGAGGAGCTCCTCCTGCGGCCCGATAACACGTGGGACCCGACTTCGGAGCGAGCAAAGAAGGCGATAAAAGGGGAGAATGGGGAGCAGTTGGAAGCGAAGCAAGAAGAGGAGCAGGAGGTTATAATGACGGAAATGGTCATGGATGGTGAAGATGGCGAAGAGTGTGGAGACCCTCAATTGAGTAAATGCTTGGTGCATTTGCCAAGGAAATGGCATGCGGATAGTTTGAGGAAGTTTCTTAGTGAACAAGTAAGTGTTTTATAGGTTTCAGTATTCAGATGAACAGTTTTAAAGTTCTTTGGGTAAGCGGTAAGTCGTTTATGTTAATTCCGTTGAGTAATTCTTACAGAAATTGTTAGCTCAAAATGCATGTCCCACTCTGCACGAAATCACAAAGTTCATTTCTTTTATAAATTTAGTCGGATATTTTTTACATTAGATTGTTACCAAGGCGATCTAATCTGTCAATAATAAAACTTCAGTGAACTTGTTTGATGAAATCAGATAATTGTGACTTAAACTTCGATGTTAAGTTCAATGATTTATAATGTAAATTATGCAGAGTTTCTTTTTGCTTTGTATCTCATATGGATTGTTTTCTTTTTCTAGGGAATTACTTTTAAATCTGCAAAGAAAAAGAAAGGCATGGTGGTTGGTTTCGTGAGTTTTGAAAGTGTTGAACAGTTGAAAAGTGCAGTTGAGGTATCCCATATTTCAATTATATAGAGAACCAGTGATGCATAAATGTGCTATAAAATTTGACTGGTATACAAATATCTCTTCTCTGTGAAAGGTACTGGAAGGAAAGACTTTTGGCAACAAGAGTTTAAAGGTTGCAAACATCATTCCTCGATCATTCGAGAGGAAAGTGAAATCAGCAATGGCTGCACAGACTAGTGAAGATGCATTGGTTAAGGTGAATGCAAGTGTTTCAAATGCTTCAAATGAGGTTCAAGATGGTGTGCCAATTGATGATGGTTCTGCACATGATGATTCAACCTCAAAGGTGAAAAGTGCACGCGATGCAGTCACTCCACTTGCTCATATGCCTTACATTGACCAGTTGGAGCTCAAGAAGAATTCTGTCATGCAAATGCTCAAAAAACTTGTTAGAAACACTTTTCCCTTTGTTCTGTTTTTAGCTATTTTAATTTTCATTATTAATTATATTTGACCCACTGTTATTTACTATTTGGCAGACTAGAAATGCACGCAAAGCTTGTCCTAGCGGTGTTTCACTTCCTGACTGGGTTCTTAAATCTAAGGAGCGAGGTTTGCTTTCACTTTTAACACATTGAAAACCAATCCTCTCATTGAACTTGTATTTAAGGTGTAATAATTTGAATTTGCAATTAGATGGTACTTGGCCATTTCTTTTAATGATTGTTTTTTAAAATCTCCATTTGTATAGGTGGTCTTCCATGTGAACTGGAAGGTATAATTGAATCCCCAATTGTACATGGATACCGCAACAAGTGTGAGTTTTCTGTTGGATATTCTCGTCAGGGTAAACCGACTGTGGGGTTCATGCTGGGAAATTTTAGGTAAAGACTTTTAACCTGCTTGGGAATTTCTTTTGAGCTAGAGTTGTGCCTCTAAAGACAAGAATCCTTTCAGGGAGGGTGTGACAGCTGTTGAAGAACCTGTGGACTGCCCAAATGTTTCGAAAATTGCTTGCAAATATGCTTCAATCTTGCAGGAATTTTTGCAGCATTCAAGCTTACCAATTTGGAGCAGATTTAAAAATACAGGATTTTGGCGTCAGTTAACTGTATGTTCTTTTATGCAAGGGCTTTGAGAATTACATGTCCACTGATCTAGTGCTAGTACTTACATTATTTCTGCCTTTTGTTCCAATGCACTAAATCAAATTGCTGGTAAAATCTGTTTAATCTTATGTTCAAATTCTATTTCAATCTACAAGGTCAGAGAAGGAAGATCGGTTGGGAAGGTTGCAGATGAAAACTTTGAGTCCAATATTTCAGAGGTCATGCTCATTGTTCAGGTTTGTCTATTCTGAAAGCTCTATTCTCATCTTTCAAGTTATATTTTTAGCGGTATATTTTTATAAAGAAAAAAAAGCATGGAAATGCTGATTAAGAATGAAAGGGGAAAAGTTTTTGCCTCAAGCTGCCATCATCTTTTCAGTTGTTTGGGTAGGCTAAGTTTTTCTTCATGGATGGGTTTAAAATGAACAATATACTAAGTATCTGCTAAATTGTTTGTCATATGCTGATTGCATAGGTTTGTTCTGTTGGGATTGATGATGCACAAGTAACCAGTGAGTTTGAGAGACTTGCTCAAGCGTTTGCAGAGGGTGCTGCCACAAATTCTCCCCCTCTGCCTCTAACAGTTTTTGTTGTTCAAGTACTTGTTCCGTCATTATTCTTTTCTCCACCCTTGCAAAATTGCGGTTTCTTGAGCTAGGCCAGGTAGCATATGTTGTCTTCTCTGATTACTCCTTTTTGTGGTCATTTTTTTCATCCAGGATCATCAAGGAATATCAAATGTGGCACCAACTGATGCTCCATTGCGATCAATACCCATCCTGCAAACAGAAAACAGTCGTGGGCCAGAGACAGCCAATAATGTTGTAGAAGCAAGGATTCATGAATGTATAAGCAACCTCCGGTTCTCAATATCTCCAACGGCATTTTTTCAGGTTAAGACCTTGAGCCTCGATCTCTGTCTTCCCTGGTTGAAACATTCATCGTAATTCTGGATAATTTGCAATGGCAACTGTGTACTGCAGGTCAATACTCTTGCTGCAGAGAAATTATATTCACTTGCTGGTGAGTGGGCTGGTTTGGGTCCTGATACCTTGCTGTTTGATGTATGCTGTGGGACTGGAACAATTGGACTCACATTAGCGCATCGTGTTGGTATGGTAATAACATTATCCATTTCCCATCCTTCATCGTAACTGTTTCAGATTCTACATATCTGAATCTTATGACATAGATTGAGCTCCATGTTGTATAACAACTTAAAAAGTGACTATGCTGTAGGCTTGTTAATGTTGTTATTGTGAAGTACTAAACTAATTGATTATGATTTCAGTTAATCTGTATATGCATAGCAAATTCTCTCTTGTAATTGAACTTTCTAGGCATTAAAATCTGCAGGTTGTTGGCATTGAAATGAATGCTTCTGCAGTTCAAGATGCATATAAGAATGCCGAGATTAATGGGATAAAAAATTGTAGATTCATCTGTTCAAAGGTTTGATTTTCCAACTTTATCTTTGATTGATTCATTTATTTTAGAGGAAAAAAAAGTTGGGGGTACAATTGTCAAACTGCATTTCTTTGTTCCGTTATTTACTTGTGTGGTCTCTATGAGCAACAGGCTGAGGATGTAATAGGGTCTCTGATGAAGGAGTACCTAAATGTTTCTGAAGAACAAGATCGACTTTCAAGTGCCTTAGAAAGTAGTGAGAAAGGAACATTAAGCTGTGAAGAGAAAGATTTGTGCACAACCAATGCACATAATGATGGAGAGAGCTCATGTCAAGAGCCTGAAAACTGTTCTTCAGAAAATAACGGAAAAGAGCTCCAAAATCAACTTCAGGAAAGTTCCATGTCAACAGATGGAAATTCTTTGGTGCAGCAATTCAAAAATGTTGTTGCTATTGTTGATCCTCCACGTATGGGACTTCATCCCACTGTAAGTATTCTTGCGTTCTTGATATACCAGCAGTTGTCTATGTTCCAATTCCTCTAAGCTCTACTCTTATGACATGCATGCCATTGCTGCGTTTGATCCCTGTCAAGTAGCGTCATTTTGAAGATACTTAGGAATTCTCTCTAAAAACTACTGGCTTTAGTTTTAGACATGTCTCTTCTATCTGCATTTAATTTGTGTAAAACCTATAGGTTTTTAAGAAAATAATAATAAAAAAAATGGTTCATCAGATATGGATCCATCTCGTCTTCGTATCTTGGACCTCATTTATTGTTTTCTGAAAATTCAGGTGGTCAAAGCTTTACGAACTCATGCTCGATTGCGGAGGCTTGTGTAAGTTTCCACTGTGAGCTTTTCATGTTCATTCTTTGGTTGTTCCATTCCCTTTTCAGCCTAAATTCATCCCTCTCTCACTCTCTTTCTGTTTTGTAGGTATATTTCTTGCAATCCTGAAAGCTTAGTGGCAAATGCCATTGAGCTCTGCACACCACCTCCCGAGAAAGTTGAGAAAGGGAAGAAAGACAACCGGGGCTGGAGGAACATGAGCAGTGCTGGTTTAGCACGACACAGGGCCAAGTCCATGCCGATTTCAGAGCCTTTCCAACCTGTAAAAACAATGGCTGTTGATCTTTTCCCACATACTCCACACTGTGAAATGGTGATGCTCTTGGAGCGATAGTATGGCCAACACCAAGTCAAACATGAATATATATATAATGCGGAAGATTAAGTCCTACAGTCTACCAACAAAACTTTTGAAGCTGAAAATTGTCTCCTTGTTGATTGACTATTGTTTTTTTTTAAATTCCATAATGAAAATTCCCTGGTTAAGAGAGCTTTCTCCCTTTTTGGGCTCTTTTAGCTATGCTACTGTAAGAATTCTTGGATGTTCCTTGTTCAAACTTTGAAGTTGAACTTCTTACTCTTGTATATGCACTTGTTTGAGACACTAATGGAGTTAGTGGACCTGAAGAGGAAAAATTAAGATAGACTTGTCTTCACCATGAATGGTAAGGATTGCGTGGACGGGAGACGTGAGTGGTACAGTCGCCTGAGTTTTATTTGGCAATGCTTGCGCTGGCGTGGCCCGGCCTTTATTCATATATGCAAGTAGTTGTCCCTGTTTATTCTTGATTTTAGCCTAAACAGGAAGGGCAGAATGCATAAATATAATATGAAGAGTAAGTGGGTTTTGGTTTGATGGCTACCATAAAAGTCATAATGCATACCTAACCCAACTAAACTTTTAGGTGATACCGTGATACAATTACAGGGATTAAATATAAAAAAGAATCATCAAATGGCTGTTTCATCCCTCAAGTCTTTGTTGACTGCGGTGTTCCATTAATGCTCTGCAAAAACTTTGAAAATGATACAGCATAGAATAGAGTAGTGCTAAAAGTTGGGGGATGAGCATGAAACAGTGATGGTGGACTGAAATCATGAGACCCACTTTGTTATACGCCTAACAAGTAACTACTAAATAAATATTTATGACATCCATCCCAATTTAAAGTATTCTATAGTTTTAGGAGTAAAAGAACAATTTTAATTTATGGAACTCTTACGTAAACAATACTTCATTTTATAAAAAAAGAAACAAACTAAAAGTATTAATTAAATTATTCTACTATGTCGTCGTTTATCATGAATTATCACATGGGTATTATAGACTGATACATAAGTATTGTATATCAGTACCATAACGATTAACAACAATTCTTATTAGTTAAAGAATTAAAATAAATTTATTTTTCAGTCATATTAAGTATAAAATAAATTCAAAAAGAATATATTATCTTTTTTAAAAAAATTAAAGAGCCTTATAAAGACAAACCATTAGACCTTTAAATTAGAAAGAACATTTTAAAGTGTTATTTATTTATTTAAAAGAATCTGATTTTTTTATTTTTAATAGTATTAGTTAATATTACTCCTACTCCTACTCCTACTCCTACAATTATAAATATTAAGCTTTCTTTCCATTCTAAAGGCACACAAAATTGAGAATCTCTCATAGTGTATTTGTTTTCTCTCGTCCTCTTAGATTGAGTATTTTTGTCAAGAACTAATATTTATCCATCAGTCCCCTTTTTTTATATAACGAAAAGCTTATTGAATTCTCTAGATGATACATAATACAATATCTTTAAAGACAGAATTTAATATAAACCTCAAGTTGATTCAATTCTTAATCTTATTTTGGCTCATTACAATACAATTATAATTATATTTATGACACTTTATAAAATATTTAATTGAATTTTCTTTTACTCACTTCTCACAGGTAAATATAACCATGGTCATGTTGCATTATTACTTTTACTCAAAAAGTTTTCTAGTTCGCGGACCCATTGGACACACTTCCATGTATAAAGGTTCTCTTTCAAGTTTTACCCTTTTTTTATGGTTGGATATCGTGCATATAACGTCTGTAATTATGAGTAATAATTTTTCCCGGTAAGAAAAAAATATGTATCATGATTAAAATTTCATCACAAAGTTTCACCCTCGGTTAAATTTGTTTCCTTTTGCCCTATTCTCATAGTTGGCCTATAAATGTCAAATTCTGCATTTCACCCTCAACGTGACACCTACTTTTTAAGAGGAAAATAAATGAAAGATCAAATTTTTACATTTAAAAAAGTACAGGTATTAAATTTGAATAAATTAAAGTACTGAAGCCACGACTTTTCTATAGAACGGGAGACATGCAGAATTTGACCTATACGACATCAGTTGATGCTATGGAGTTTAGTTTAAGGAGAGGTGTGTCCCCCCACCAGCTTTTGCCAAAAATGAGAAAGCATTGTTCCAAAGCTCTTTCATTACTTGACAGTTGGACCTTCTTCATCTCCCCTACTTTTCAACTTCTTATTTTTTTCCCTTTTACCATCTCTTTAGACTTCAAATAAATCTACACATTCTTGTTCAGTGCTTGTGGGGTTTCTTTGATTTTGTTTATTAAAAAATGGCGTCTCAAGAGACAGCTATGGAGAAGGAACATAATGTTGCTCAGGTAATTTCCGGTTTATTATGAATCTGCCTTGAGTCATGTAATCATGTATTTAAAAATGGGGTTTTCTTTGATTGTTTCTCATATTTTTAATTCAAAATGAATTAGGGGATCTAGTTCCCTGCGTTCCTTCAGACAACCTTTGAATTTTGATTTTGGATGTTTTTACGTTACGTTTTTGTCTATGTTTCTATGTCAGTTAAGCTCTGCTCATCTTTGGTGTTATATATATGAAGCTTCTTTCTTGTAATAACTGGAGTTTTATTGATACACTTTGAAGAAATTTGGTTAGCTAGTGATGTTATAGTTAGTGGAAGTGTCTATCAGTTGCAGTCTTCTTTTGTATATTTTCTTGCATAATGATTCATCTTGGTTATTTGCTTTCTTTTTCAGGTTGAAGATTCATTAGGAGTGACAGAGGAAACCATTCGTGCTCATAATCGAAAGCGAAGCAATCTTGTTCTGGAGATACCCTCAAGAACTTTGGAAGACCCCTTTCAAGAATCTGTCACCATTAAGATGAAACCAACGCCTTGTTTGACTCCCAGAAGAGTGAATTTTCTCTTGACACCTAGTCCGTCCGATGCGAGAATCACGGGGTCCTTGTGCCCTTCCTCGTCGAGAGGCAAATCGTCCTTGAAGAGCCTCTTACCGAAACCAAGCTTCAAGAATGGAAATCCTGATTTGGATGCTGAAAAGGTTGCAATGTTTGCTCCTGAATCTTCTACCACTTCACGAAGGGAGAAACCCTCCATTGTGAGGACATTGTCGCTTACAAAGTTATTTAGAAGTCCTCGGGTGAAAAGGACGTCGTCGTTGCCTGTAACTCGTATTGTGCATTCGAACTCAGAGTCCGAATGCATTGGTAGCCTAAGTGGCTCTGTAAATTCCAGTGTAAGTTTTTGTGATGTTCTGCCATGATTGTGACTATATATGCATATAACGTGTAGTAGAACTTGTTCATAAATATTTCCCGGATTTCTCCTTCCGAAGCTAATCTTTTCGATGCAAGGATTTGAATGTTTGTTATTTAAATTTGTTAGTTCCTTTGCAGAGAAAGGGAAGCATACAACAGATTTCTCGCTCACTGTCAGTTCCTATAAACCGCAAAGAAGGAAACTTAAGGAGAATGGATTCGTTTTTTCGAGTAGTTCCCTTGACTTCACGAGTAAAGGAAGGGGAAATAAGCTCGAATTTTCCCGTGGGACCTGATGCTGGTACTTCATCGTCTTTTGTCTACGGGTTTATGTATGTGCTTGCATATGTTCAAGTTTGCAAAGTTGCCTGAGACTATCATGTTATCTGCATTTTACATTTTTTTCTATCGTACCGGATGATGTCTTAACATCTCATTTTACAGAAGACAGTGACGGTGAGGATATACCCGAAGAAGAGGCTGTTTGTCGAATTTGTATGGTCGAACTATGTGAAGGAGGTGAAACGCTTAAGATGGAGTGCAGCTGCAAAGGTGAGCTCGCTTTGGCCCACAAAGACTGTGCTGTGAAATGGTTTACCATCAAAGGGAACAAGACCTGTGATGTGTGTAAGCAAGAGGTCCAGAACCTACCTGTCACTCTTTTACGAATCCCAAGTACTCGAGCTCGAAATGCAGCAGTTATTAGAGGTCTTCAGCCTGATGTTCCTGGATACAGGTAAATAATCAATTTGTTAACGACTAGTACTGGATCATTCATTGGAAGTTATGCACATCATTGTAAAATTTGGAACAAGGATTTGTGTTTTACGAACTTCGTTTTTCTATCTAATTTGATTTTACCCTCGTCTGTTGTGTTGTTGCAAAGTATTTCTATGTTTTTCTTATTCTTCTATATTGTGAGCTCGATAAGTAAAAACTGGGAAGTAATAATTTTGGTTCGATGTTTGCAGGGTTTGGAATGAGGTCCCTATTATTGTTTTCATCAGCATGCTTTCGTATTTTTGTTTTCTTGAGCAACTTCTGGTAGGATAAACAGTTCCTCGTTCGTATATTTCCCGGGTTTTACTACTTTATATCCTCGATAGTCGGTATATGTTTCATTTGCCTGCAGGTTGGAGAAATGGGCATTGGTGCAATTGCTATATCTCTTCCTTTCTCGTGTGTGCTAGGCCTTCTTTCATCCATGGTTTCGTCAACAATGGGTAGGCTCGCACACTTCAGCTATATAATTACCCGATGTTCGATTAACACATTTATATACATATATAAGGTAAGGTCCGTTGGTAGATGAATGACATCCATCCTTGCGCAATGCACACATAGATGACCCTTGCAGTTTATAACACAGATGACTAGGCTGGGAAACGATGGTATATCGTTGAAATTTACAAGGCTGAGATCTATACAAAATTTCGACAAACTGTTATTTTAAGATTTTCTGAATTAAATACTGCTTGAATCTTTGTATTCAGTGACGCGAAGATTTGTGTGGCTCTACGCGTCAATTCAACTTGTTTTGGTGGCTGCTTTTGCTCATATATTTTATTCCACGGTAAAGAGTCTATCTTTGCTAATGTTTCAGATGTTTGGCTATTTTGCTTCATTCTTGTACCGAAATGGTCGAATAAAATCGATTCATTATAATGTTATGTGGCATGCAGGTGAAAATACAAGCAATCCTATCGATTCTCCTCGCAACGTTTTCTGGATTCGGTGTCGCAATGAGTGGGAGTTCCTTTGTAGTTGAGATCCTACGATGCAGAAGAAGATGGCAACGTGCTAGGTCAGAGCAGAGCAGTACGCATCGGACGGGTCCTAATAACGAAAACCAGCAAAGTGGGAGCTGACTCTTAATGGAGCTCAACATGTGCTTGGTAGTTTGTCCAAATTTAAGGTAAATCCAATAGGCTCACAAAGCATTCCAACATCATTCAAGGTTAAACAAGCGTGGGTCCTGTCTCTCAAGCCAAGAGACTGCAATGAAATGGTGCTCGTGTAAGGTTTGCAAAAGTAAAAATAAAATTTACTGCAAACTCTGAATCTATAACGGGTGGGATATAGGTAGGTCTTAAAATTTTAGTCTGAAGAGTTTTAATCTGCATTTGTTTCAAATCCAGAAGCATTTATACGGTAATCACCCATTTTGATCACTATGAAGCTTAAACCTTAAAACGCACAAAAATGGTGAGCCACTCCACATGTTCTGTATAAATGGAAGTTATACGTTGCTGATGTTGAGCTGCTTCACGTTTTTAGCAATGATATGTTCACCTACGTGCAGGGTTGAGCAACAAAATTGAGAAAACCGAAAATGAAATGAAAAAGACTTTAACGTGCGATATCAATTTTCCTTAACAGCAATGGACGTAAATGTTATCATAGTGCAAGCATCTGAAATATTTAATGATTACATTATAAGTTTTAAAAATTCGTTGAACAAAATTTATATGCTATAAAACTTTAGGGATATTTATGCAATTTAGCCTGGATTAGGGGGCCGGAAGGGTAACATGATTTCAAATAGTGAATCAAGTGAAAAAAATTGGATTTTGTAGATAACAATAATTTTAGAAATTTTTTCTCTATGTATGAGTTCATCTGATTTGATTCTAGTCATGAATATATAGAGATATGTCCGACCAAAATAAATAAATAATAATAATAAAAATACTAAACAAATAGATTTTGATAATCTTTATCTCATGCAAAAGTAGTTGAAAATTCCTTAAAAAGAATAAAAAATGATTTTTTTTAATATAAACCTCTTTGTGATCTCTTTTTCCTATTTTTGTTGAATCATTATTGTTATTCTTCTTCAAAGAATCTCACTTCTTGTGGCGTATCCGTACTGAGCTCTCCTGATATTATCTTGTCTCTTCTTGTAAACCAATCCACCGAGGCCAACCAAACACGCTGCCCCCACCGCAGCAATCGCCACTCTCGTTTTTTTTCCATCGCTCATTCCTCCGTCACCACCGTACTTCTCTTCGCTTCCTTCTGCATTGATGTCTCCGTGGTTGATATCGCTCGCATTGTACGGCGAAGGAGCGGGAGAACTCACGGGTGAGTTCCCTGGCGCCAGATCTGATGCAGTTGGCGCTGGTGGCGAAGCTGCCATCACCGGTGAGATTGAAGGTGCTGAGTCAGGGGGTTCAGTCACCGGATTAGGAGCGCGTTCCGGTGACTAGTAATCACCGAGTGACGGCGCAGGTGTCGGCGAATAGGCATCGAAGGTGAGTTCAACAACAAAGAACAAAACAAGGGTAAGAAAGAATTCGATTTTTGCCAATCTGAAAATTTTAAAAATGCAGTTGAAAATGATGGGAAATTTGAAGAGTTTCAGAACGTAGTAGGTCACGAGAGTGTTGCGAAAGATGACTATCGGATAGAGTAAAATTGTAACTGATAATTTGATAAAATAAAGATGAAGATAAAAAAAGACATAAAATTTACGTAGAAAACCCCTAAATAATATATGGTAAAAATCACGGGCAACGGTAGAAGAATTTCACTATGAGAAATTAGGAATTACAACTTCTCTCGATCTACCAAGGAGACAACAATGATAATTCTCTCTTGATAAATAGGAGAAAACAACTCTCAAGAAACTCTCTAAATTCTCTACTATTGGGAGAAAACTAGAATGATTTGGGATTGTTTTGAAGCTAAATGAATATGATATTTATAGTTGAAGCTTAAGGACTAATCTGTAAATACCCTAAAGCCTATAGACTAAAGTTTATAATTTTCCCTTTCATTTTTTCAACAAATTCCAGCTTGAATTCGGTGCAATAAATGCACCACTTTCATCGAAAGTTTCCCAACAATTTCCACCGAAATTAATATGCAAATGTCGACTTTTCAACAATATCCCACTTGAAGATTTGATTGGAATAATTATATCTTCACACTATTCTTTCTACCTTGTACCATCATGTTGCTTATGTCTCTGACAGGCCACAAGAGGATCGACACCAAGTGAATTTATCAGCATTGATCGCCTTCTTCATGAAATCTGCTATGTTGTCTTTGGTATGGATCTTCTCCATATCTACCGTCCATTTTTCCACCTTTTCACGAATGAAATGGTACTGAACTCGTATATGCTTTGTCCTTGAATAAAATGTTGGATTCCTTGCTAGATGCAAGACGCTTTGACTGTCACAAAACAGAGAGACATTCTCTTGATTGTGCCCAAGCTCCTCCAATAGCATCTTCAACCAAATTGCTTCTTTGTTGGCTTGTGTAGCTGCTACATATTATGCTTCTGTTGTGGACGTAGCCACAACTAACTACAATTTTGAAACCCAACTTACAGCTCCACCAGCAATTTTGAACACATATCATGTAGTAGATTTGCTTTTATCCAAATCTCCTGCATAATCAGAATCAATATACCCATTGATTAGTAAGTTTGATCCTCCGTAACATAATGCAACATTTTAGGTCCCTTTGATGTATCTCAGGATCCTCTTTACTGTATTCCAATGCTCTTTGTCTGGATTCGCCATGTACCGACTAACCACTCCCACTGCTTGTGCAATGTTTGGTCTTGTGCATATCATAGCGAACATTAAACTTCCCACTGCTGATGCATACGGTACTCGAGACATCTCCATCCTCTCTTATTCACTGCTAGGACTCATACTTGAGGATAATTTGAAGTTAATAGGAAGAGGGGTAGAAATTGGTTTACAATCTTGAAATAAACACAAGGGTCTGCATTAAGTCTGTTGTATCCAAGGCAGATAATAAAGGAATCAAATTTCTTATACCAACATCTCGACGCCTTCTTTAGACCGTACAGAGATTTGTTCAACCTGCAAACCAAATTCTTCTTTTCTTTTTCTTCAAAACCTTCAAGCTGGAGCATGCAAATCTCTTCTTCAAGATTTTCATGAAGAAAAGTTGTTTTAACATCTAGCTGCTCTAGATGTAAGTTCAATGTAGCACACATTGCAAAAACAACTCTAACTGTTGTTAGTCGAACCACAGGAGAAAATATTTCATTGAAATCAATATCTTCTTTTTGAGCATATCCTTTTACCTCCAGTCTTGCATGATACCTCTCCACTTGATCGTCATCATTTCTCTTGATTTTGAAGACCCATTTGTTACCAATTGGCTTCCTTTCTTGTGGTAGTGGCACAAAGTACCATGTATTATTTTTATGAAGAGCTTCAATTTCCTCTTGCATCGCCATCATCCATAGTGAAGCATCTGAGATGTTTATTGCCTCCTGATATGTTGATGGCTCACCGTCCTCTGTTAAAAGGCAGTATGCAATATTACTTTCTATAACAAAATCTGAGTGCCAATTGGGTCATCTTCTCATACGATCTAATTGATGAGTTGTTGGAGCTTCAGAACTCTCTGGTTCTTGTTCATCATGTGCTGGTTCTGCTTCAGAAGAATCTCCTTGTTCAAACTCCTTTTCCACATGTATCTGTGTAGTCTCTGACTTTTCAGCATTATCATCATCTTCTTTGCTTTGTAGTTTATCTTCTATAAATATAACATCCATGCTGATAATCACTTTGCGGGCAGTGGGATCCCACAAGCGATACCCCTTTACACTATCAACATACCCCAAGAATTTGTATTTCCTGGATTTTGGATCCAGCTTTGAAATTTCTTGGGAGTTGTACATCACGTACACAATACTTCCAAATACATGGAGGTTTGAATAATCAGCTGGTTTACCAGTCCACATCTCCATTGGTGTCCTTAGCTCTATTGCAGTTGATGGAGCTCGATTCACCAAATAATATGCAGTATTGACTGCTTCTGCCCAAAATGATTTTTCTAGGCCTGCAACTCTCAACATTGCTCTTGTTCTCTTTAACAAGGTTTTATTTATCCGCTCTGCCACTCTATTTTATTGAGGAGTGTTTGCCACTGTGAATTGTCTTTTGATGCCTTTTTTTCTGCAAAAGTCATCAAATTCTTCACTTGTGTATTCTCCTCCATTATCTGTTCTGAAACACTTGATCTTATTTCCAGAATCAAGTTTCACCCGTGTTTTGAAGTTTTTGAAAGTTGAAAACACATATGACTTCTTCTTAATAGGGTACACCCAACATCTCCTGGAGTAGTCATCAATAAATGAGACAAAGTATTTTGCACTGCCTAGGAATGTAACTGGTGCTTGTCATACGTCAGAGTGAACCAATTCTAGAACACCTTTGCCTTTAGAATTTGATGTGTTGAATTTCAATCGGTGCTGCTTACTTGTTATGAAATGCTCACACATAGGAAGCGATACCTTTGTTAATCCTGAAAGTAGCTTTTGCTCCACAAGGACTTTCATTCCTTGTTCTGACATGTGTCCAAGTTTTTGATGCCATAGCATTGTAGAATCTGAACTATATGAGGCAACAGAGGCTTCTGCTTTTAGCAAAGTCTCTCCCTTCAGCATGTACAAGTTTGCAGCTATTTTTTCTCCTTTCAGCACCACAAGCGCTCCACGGAACACATTCATGATTCTTTTTCGTGTTTCAATCTTGCTTGCATTATTATCCAACAATCCATAGGATAATAAATTTTTCTTCAAGCCTTTCACGTGTTGCACATCTCAAACAACTTTAATTGTTCCGTCATACATCTTCAATTTGATGGTTCCCACGCCAATGATCTCTAAGGCATGATCATTACAACTATACACAGATCCTCCTGAGACAGATTCATAATGATGTAACCATTATCTTCTCGAGGTCATGTGATTTGTTGCTCCCAAATCAATGAGCCATATATCTGTATATCTATTTCTACCTTCCACAGTGGTTGACACTTCACAACATAGAACATCTCCATCATTTGAAGTGTTTGCGGTATTGCCTTATGGATTGGAGTTTTTATTTAGACTCCAACAATCATTCTTCAAGTGACCATTCTTTCCACAGTTGTAGCACTTTAAATTATTCTTGCTCCTCGACTTCGATCTACCATGTTTGTGACTGCAGCTTTGGCCACGTTCTGTTGATCTCCCTCTCGTCGTTGTCAACGCTTCTGCTTGTTGCAGATTTACTTGTCTGTCTTCCTTGTTCTTGTGTCGATTTTCTTCTTGTAGAACAACAACTGCAACGTCATCGAAGACTAGACTGATGACATTATTGTTTGTCAAGTTGATGATGAGTTGATCATACGAATCCGATAGACTTTGAAGTAGAAGTTCATAACGTTCTTGTTCTCCTATTTTACAGCTTAAAGATGTAAGCTGAGAAAATAAAGTGTTCAGTGTATTTAAGTGCTTCGTCACTGAAGTAGATTCTGGCATACGGAGAGTGTACAATTTTTTCTTTAGAAAAATTTTATTGTGCAGCGACGTGACCTCGTATAGTTTGGTGAGATGATCCCATATCTCCTTAGCTGTTTTCTTCTCCTCGATGCTTGACAATACTTCATCTGCTAATGCTAGATAAAAGTTTGTCATAGCATTCCCGTCCATTTCGATCCATTTGTTGTCATCTGTGAAATCTACCGGCCTTTCATTGATAGCTGCTAGACAACCGTCTTTCCTCAGGATGACATTCATCTTCAATTTCCACAATGAGAAATTTCTCCCATTGAAATTTTCAATATCAAATTTCGTTGTCATAGCTTCTATTACAGATAGCTCTCACTATTTCACTATCGTGAATAGTTCTTTGGAACATTAAAAGAATGGGTAATAACTTCTTACTTTCTTATGTTGGAGGATCCACCTTTTGGTGGCAACCACAAAGACAATAAGTAGCTATTACACACTCTAATCTAGCTCTGATACCAATTGTTGCGGAAGACGGCTATCGAATAGAGCAAAATCGCTACTGATAATTTGATAAAATAAAGATGAAGATAAAAGAAGATAGAAATTTTACGTGGAAAACTCCTAAATAATATAGGATAAAGACCACGGGCAACGGTAGAAAAATTTCACTATGAGAAAATAGGAATTACAACTTTTCTCGATCTACCAAGGAGAAAACAATGATAATTCTCTTTTGATAGATAGGAGAAAACAACTCTCAATAAACTCTCTAAATTCTCTAGTATTGGGAGAAAGCTAGAATGATTTGGGATGATTTTGAAGTTAAATGAGATAAGATATTTATAGTTGAAGCTTAAGGATTAATCTATAAATACCCTAAAGCCTATAGACTAAAGTGTATAATTTTCCTTTTTATTTTTTCAACAAATTTCAGCTTGAATTCAGTGCAATAAATGCACCACTTTCACCGAAAATTTTCCAACAATTTTCACTGAAATTAACCTGCAAATGTTGACTTTTCAACGGGGAGGAGGAATTTAAGGAGGGGAAAGGGATAAAAACGGGGTAGATACAGTGAACAGGAAATTAGGTGTGAAAAATGAAACCATGCGAAACTTAGATCACACGTCGGACGGAAGTTAAAGAGAGAACGGAACGAAGCCAAACAAGGAAGGAAAGTGAGGTTTTCGATGAGGGTTTTAAGGGACTTAATGATTAAGTAAAGGGTTCATATGATAGATTAAAGAGGACGAAAATGATTGAAAATTGTATGAGCCATGATTTTTTATTTTATTTTAAAAAAATGCAGCTCAAGGCAACAACTATATTTCTCTTTTAAACCCAAATATTTTTTATTTTAGATTTTTTAATAACTTTTAATAAATTAGTAATTATTAAAAGTGTTATTCGATTAAACTGGTAAAATATTCTGATTGAAAAAATTAATAAAAATCTGATATATTTTATAGAAATATGATAAATGTTACATAGATAATTAAAATTAGGGTAAAGTATAGTAATGGTCACTGAACATTTCTGAAGCTTGCATTTAGGTCCCCCAACTTTTAAAACTTACAATACAGTCCCCTAACATTTATTCCGTTTGCAATATGGTCCCCCAACTTAAACCACCGTTAGAAATTAGGGTAAATTATATAAAAGGTTATTGAACTTTTCAGACACTTGAATTTAGGTCCCCCAACTTTTAAAACTTGCAAAACAGTCCTCAATTTCATTCTAAACCCCAATTTCCAAAGTAATTCAATTTTATTCTAAACCCTAAATTCTAAAATAATTCAATTAAATTCAATTATGTCAGATTTATTATTATTTAATTTCATCTTATTTCATGTGATATGTATTTTTTATATAAATATAATAGTATAATTCTTATCTGTTGAAGAAATTTTTTAATTAAAAAAAGTAGTTAGGATATAGAAGAGGTTGAAAATAATTCGAATTTTAAATTTATAAAATGTTATTTTGACGTATAAATAAAAGTGTAAACTACTAGGTTGACAACTTAATTATCTAGCCCTTTTTACTTTTGTCATCGATCTTTTAAATTTATCAATCATACAACATAATTATTTAACTGTTTCAACTAAGCCACTAGTCGTTACCAATTGATACAAATGATGAAGTGGCAGTTAAAAGGAATTGACATTATTATACATTTAGTCTTTATTATTTATATAATCAATTTGGTCCTAAATTAAATAGAATTTAATAAATTAATCATTTAATTAGGATCTGACATGTGTTAGCACATGATCATGACACGTGTCATTGATGACACATGTCACCACATAATTATTTATATATGCTATCAATTTGGTCCTAAATTAAATAAAATTTAATAAATTAATCATTTAACTAGGATCTGACATGTGTTAACACATGATCATGATATATGTTATTGGTGACACATGTCACCACCTAATTAGAAGAAAATTAAGTTACAAAGAAGTAAAATTTGGGTCTTGGGCAAACTCAAACCTGAGTCACGCAAATGAAAGATACAGGGTGGAGCCACTAAGCTAACACCATCGTTTGTGTTAAGAGATATACAATAATACATATACTAATAGTATGACCAATGCCAGAAAAAAAAAATAATGGAAATAATGAGATTTGAACTTCGGCAAAAAATTTGAAAGCAATAAATGATGGGAAAATATTATATTTTTTTACAATAAAAAATATTATATTTTGATAAATTGTTTGATAGATTTAATATATTTTTTTAATATTAGTTGATACAATATTTTAAAAGAATAAATTTAAAATTTATATATTTTTAAACTAAATTTAATAATTATATTTTTCATATTTATAACTCATGATTATATATATAATCTTAAGTTGAGTATTTCTAATATAATTAATAATTTTAATTTCTTATTAAAAATAAAATATTCAAAAAATATAAATGATTCATACATTAATATATGAATATATTTTTTTATTTATACATCTAAATATAAATATACATTTATATAAATATATTTTTATTCATATATTGAAATATTTTGATTAAAATATAAACATATTTTAAATACTAGTTTATACAAGAAAAATAAAATATATCAAAAATATAAATGATTCATACATTTAAATATAAATTGAATCATTTATATTTTCTATACATCTATATTTAATAAGAAAATAAAATTATTGGGGGACTGTTTTGCAAGTTTTAAAAGTTGGGGACCTAAATTCAAGTGCCTGAAAAGTTCAATGACCGTTTATATAATTTACCCTAATTTTCTAACAGTGATTTAAGTTGGGGGACCATATTGCAAATGGAATAAATGTTGGGGGACTGTATTGCATGTTTTAAAAGTTGGGGGACCTAAATGCAAGCTTCAGAAATGTTCAGTGACCATTACTATACTTTACCCTTAAAATTATCAACAACTGGAATAGACATTGACAAGATTTTCGTCGAATTTCCTTTTCAAAAAAATTATCGTTGGATTTATTTTATTCTTTTATTTTTATCAGTTTCGTTATAATTTGATGATGATTTATATAATAAATTTGTGATTTATTTTTTTATCAATTAAAATAATTAATTTAATAAAAATAATATTAAATTATTGTAAATTAGTATATGTTTAAAAGTATTTTCATATTTTAAACTTAAGGTTAGATATAATAAAATATTGTAACAAGGTAAAACAAGGCTAGGTACATGTAAATTATTGGATTTTAGGAGCGCATTTATGTGCGAAATTAGGTGAAGAAATATAAACTATTACAGAAAAAAAAATTATTTACATTTACAACGAAAATAGAAAATTCACTCCACGACTCGAAATCGATGTACGATAGTTTGCAGTAATAGGAAACATGGTGGTGGTGGAGCATGGCACGTGATTTCACGTGTTCAGGTTCAGCCCCTCTAAATTCTCACGGAATATCATTGCTTGTAAAATTAAATTTAAAATATAAATTATCAAAATAACAATCGTTTTACATACATAACACGATCTTGAAAAAAGTATATTTGATGAAACATATATTTTATAAGTTTATTACATGTCTAAAATATATAAATTTTGTATTCAATTACTCAGGAATAAATGTATATATAAATAAATAATATCTGAATATATATTCTGAATGTATATATAAATAAATTATATTTAAATTTATACTCTTTAAGCATAGAATATAATATATATATATATATATATTTATCACATTTGATGTGACGCCTTTCTATATTACGTGTATGTGAAAGAAATGTCATTTCAATAATTAATTGAGAAATGCCATTATTCTCAAAGTATAAATATGGCAATTGTTTATCCTGGAAAAAAAAGATTGAACCGTTGAATACAATAACTTAGGATGTCATCAACAACTGAATTCCTCATTTTACTCTCTCCTCTGATTATCTTATAAGTTACAGCTCATCTTTTGAATCAGCATTGCTGCTCTCTTTGGATTCACCAGTCTTAGTTTCTGGTTCCCCTTTGGGTGCTGAAACTGGTTTTTGGAGCTTGAAAGGGACGGAAGCGTGTTTCCTGAGGAATTTGTAAAATGCCACCACGGTTCGATCAGTGTCCACAGTGATCTGCGCGTATTTCCAACATTTTCATTCAACCTTTTTTTTTACCAGGAGAAACCTAATATTTGATTGATGCATGCAGAATATAATACTACTTACAGGATCAAAACTCTTGTTTCCTGCTGGGAAGAACAGAATCGTCGGGAACCCATCCGACTGCCCAAAAATAATGTAGTTCAACTCAAACTCAAGTGCAATATAGGAACCGAAATGGAGGATTTAAAAGCTTGAGAACTTGAAGGGCGGATTTATATTAATTTTACCTTTGCCCTAGGATGTTCATTTGTTGTCCCGTCCATTTTAGCAATAACCAGAGTGTCGATTCCGCGTAGATGTTTGGCAAGCTTGTTGTATGTGGGCTCGAGCGCTTGGCAATGGCCACACCAAGGTGCATAGATCTGGTATCCATAGCATTCGATTGAATAAGAACGTTTAAAGAAAGATAAAAGGTAGCATTTCCTTTCCCCATATGGGGTTCCGGCAATACCTCAAGAAGTACATCCTTTGACTCATCTAAAACGATTGCATCGAAGTTATTGCCAACAACTATTTTCACATCCCCATCATTCTGCATCAAAAAGAAGTTCAGGTTAATTTAAAAAAAAAAACAAAAAGAGCAATGTAAGCCAAGATTACAATCAACAATGAGAAGGTTGATAATGACAAAATGATACTTACAGTTTCGGGAATCGGGTCGGACTTATAGAAAGGTTTAAGCTTGTCTTCTAAAAAACCTTCCCCAAAAGCCTACAGAATGGTAGAAGCCTAGGTTATGTTCAATTATTACTTCTTAAAAGTTGATTGGAAGAGTAAATATTGTCCACCATCACATTAAAAAGAGTGCGATAAAAGCTAAATATAGAGAGACAGAGAAAGAGAGACAACCTTAATTTTGTTCAATGTCACATCTCCATCAAAGACAAACTTCCTACCATCTTCATTTCCAGTGTATGCAATGATCTGCGTGATAATCAAATAACACCATAGTGAACATCAATCAAATTCATTGCAGATAGAGAGCATACATTTCTTCACCCCTGACACCCATATCTTCCATCCAAAACTAATTCTGCAGCGGAAAGGATAAGAAAGGGTATGTGAAACCTACTTTCGGACCATCTCCAGTTACACCGAAATAATCTGCAACGGGTCTTCCAAAATCATCATTATCCACTTGCACATAAACAAAGATAAGCTGAAAATAGGCAGACAAGACAAGAATTTGTAAGATGTTACCAAGTAATCATCCACAGGACTAGAGAGAAATGAGAATTTCGGAAATCACCCACTTCAATCGTTTATTAAATCAGAATATACAACAGTAAAGAATACTTTAATTTATCCTAGATGATTTACTGCTGTTAGTTACCTTTCCCTTGAAAAATTTCGCCGCTTCTTGGAATGATGGGATATACTTCTCCGAAATGTTTGATGAGGCAAACAACAACACCTTAAACAAGAACGATCTTTAAGTGTCAATAAGATAATTGTAGAAATGTTAAAGAAAAACTATATCCACAGTATGTATGGTCCAAAAGTTCACAAATAGAAGGAAATGTTATAACATGCATACCTGTTTCTTAACATCACTTTCAAAAACTGAAGAAGCACTTTCCCTAGTAAATATGGTAATCAAAGGAAGCTTGTTGGAAAATACAAACTCGGATATTGCAGTCTTGACAAACTGTCCATCTGCAAGATAGAACAACTGGGTATAAAACTTCCTCTTAAGAAGTTGGATCGAGATTCCAATCGATATTGCATCTGTCTAGAAACTAACCGAAGTGGTTTATTTTCTCAGCCTCCTTTTTTATTAAGACCAAAGCCGGGCGTTTAACTTGAGGGTCTAAGTGGAAAAGCTTTGCAATATCAGGATTCACAGTTTGATAGAAGCTGACATCATCTTGGAGACGTGAAGCTGCAGCCAGCTCCTCACTCTCAGGACCCTGTTGTCATATAACAGGCCAAATCCAAATTACATCATCCAAGGAAAGCGTTTATTTATGGAGATGGATCAAATCGATGATAATACAAAGGCCCAATCACCTTGACTCAAAACTTTGAATTATAATTCCAAATATGTGGATTGCATCAAGTCACACTAATCTTAAAAAACAATAATTCACTAGAAAAATATAATGAGACAAAGGTTAACCATACCACCAAAGAGTTCAAGTAACCCAAGACAACTTTAGCTTCAGAGGTCAAGATGCGTTCAGCTTCTTCAATGGCAGTAACGTTGTATAGACCAGGTCCAATCCTCTTCTTAATCCAGGTCACTATGGCCTCCCTGATTTTTCAATGATTAAATCATTAGTCTCTACCATTTAAAGTAATAAAAAGAATCTTACATTAAAAAAAGACAGTTAAATTCTAATTGGCACATATTTTACAATGATTTAACCAAAATCAAATTACGAATACGGTAGATAATCGAGAATTCGTTATCCTAGATCTTTTATTTTTGTATTCAGAACTTACTTGTTTCTAGCACCATGATACGGCTTATGCTCCCCATCAACAAAGAAATAAACAGTGGGGAAACCCTGCACGTCGTACTCTTGAGCCAGATCATTCTCCTCCGTGGCATCCACCTTGGCCAACACAACTTGCTCCCCTTTCAACTCCGTCGCTGCCGCAGCGTACTCGGGAGCCAACGCCTGGCAGTGCCCACACCAAGGCGCGTAGAATTCAACCATCACGAACTTGTTGTTCTCAATGAAATCACTGAAGTTCCCTTGCTTCAAAACGACGACGTCCTTGTCGTCTACTTCGGGTTCCTTGTACGGATCCAAATCGGAGTCGCCGAAGTCATCCTCGTCTAAGTCGCCGTATTGGTCATCCTCGTCTTCCTCGTTGAAGTGAGAGTGGGGAGAACCGACGTCGCTTTTGCCTTCCGTTTCTTCGAGGAAACGGAGATCCTCGTCGTCCTCGACGTCGTCATTTTTTGTTGTCTTGGAGATCGAAGGAGTGAGAGTGGCAAAGAGGATGAGAGCAACGAGAGAGATTGCGAAAAGGAGCCGAAACGACGCCATTTTAGAAGAGACACGGAATGAAAAGAGATCTGAATCTGAGCAATGTTTATACTTTATAGTATTGAAGAGGAAGTCAAACGAAGTCAACATTTCATGCAACGACGTCGTTTTCTGGTTTTCAGGTGCCCTTGATTGCGGACAGGACAGGACTATTAATTAATTTCATTCAACTCCCTTCCGCTGGATTCCGACTAATTTAAAGAGTAAATCAGAGACTTGCGTCGTTTTAAACCTCAAACGCTTGACTCACTCCGTAAAAATTATTTCTCCTCCTTCAACTCATCCCCATCAATAGAATTTTGTCGGCAACATTAAGTTATACCAGAGATAAAGAGCCAGAAAGAAAGGTTTACAATCCCACAAAGACTGGGTTGACGATGGTTGATGATTTAAACGATCAAAGATAAATGGATTATGATGTTCTGGTGCATCTTGAAAAAACTCAATGTTTGAATGGCAAATTCATGTAAAAATTATTAATAAAGTTTGAATGTTTCATACTGTTGAATAATCGGGTAAAGAAAACAGAAAGAACACAAGAATTTTAACGAGGTTCAGGTTACATCTCCTTTTATAATAAATAAACCCTGATACATATTTACAAAAATAATCATGTACCATACCGCGGGGCCGCAACCCCCACACCCCCAACCTACATAATCGTAACCCCCACTACGAGACTTTCTCGGTATATTTATGAGCCATACCTAACAAATCTCCACCTTGACAAATATCCTGCCCCTTAGGAAACATTCAATGTGGGTTGGGTTACCTTACTTCTTTAACAACTCGAAACACTCAACAAGTCCAAGCAATGCATGAACTTGTCTGTCGTAACTGGCTTGGTGAACATATCAGCGGCATTCTCATCAGTATGTACCTTCTGAAACAAAATCTCTCAAGATGCAACCAACTCTATGATCTTGTGAAACCTTACATCAATATGCTTAGTTGTAGCACGATATACCTTATTCTTAGCCAAGTGAATAGTACTTTGATTGTCACAAAGCAACTGAACTCGACCTTGCTAAACACCCAACTCCTTCACTAAACCAGTAAGCCATAAAGCTTCTTTTGTTGCTTCAGCCACTGTCATGTATTCAGCTTCAATTGTAGATAATGTCACAACAAATTGAACAGTAGACTTCCAACAAATAGACCCTCCACCAAGAGTAAAGATATACCCTATCGTAGATCTTCTATTATCCAAGTCACCCGCATAGTCTGAATCCACATATCCTACAACCAAAAGATTATCCCACTGACTACCAAAAACAATTCCATGTCCCACAATACCCTTTAAATACCTAAAGATCCACTTGACTGCTTCCTAATGTTGCTTACCAGGTTTAGACATGTACTTACAAACTTGACTAACAACACGAGCTAAATCAGGATGAGTACATACCATTGCATACATCAAGCAGACAACAACATTAGAATACGAAACCTTTGCCATATCTCCAGCTTCCTTATTTGTCTTAGGGCACTGTTCTGATGAGAGCTTAAAGTGATTCGCCAATGGAGTGCTCACTGGTTTTGTGTTGTTCATCGCAAACCTTTCTAGCATTTTCTCAACATAACCCCGTTGAGATAGCCACAGTTTCCTTGAGTCTCTGTCCCTGCAAATTTTCATTCCATGAATTTTCTTTGCAGCACCTAAATCTTTCATATCAAATTCTTGACTCAATAAAATTTTCAAACCGATAACATCATTCATGTTCTTCGCAGCAATTAACATATCATCAACATACAATAACAGAAAAATTTTAAAAAAACCATCATCAAGGCTCTTAACATAGACATAACAATCATACTCACATCGCTTGTAGCCAATCTTGATCATATAGGAGTCAAACCGTTTGTACCATTGTCTCGGAGACTATTTCAACCCGTAAAAAGATTTCTTCAATCTGCAAACTAAATGCTCATTTCCAGGTTGAGTGAAACCTTCAGGCTGCTGCATGTAGATCTGCTCCTCTAAATCACCATGATAAAAAATAGTTTTAACATCCATCTGCTCTAAATGCAAATCCCAACTAGCCACCAATGCAAGTATTGCTCGGATTGAAGTGTGACTGACTACATGAGAAAAATTTCATCGTAACCAACTCTTTTCTGCTGTGAAACACCCTTTGCTACCAAATGAGCCTTGAACTTTTCCCCTTCTTTTTCTATTATTGCTGTTTCTTCTTATACACCCATTTGCAACCAATAGGCTTCTTACCCTTAGGAAGGCGAACTAACTCCCATGTGCAATTGTGATTCAAAGACTCCATCCTCAACCATGGTAGCCATTCACTTGTCATTTTCTTGACTAGTAACAACATCATGAAAAGTAATCGGATCATCACTGCTAACAGTAAGTGCAAAAGAGACCAAGTCTTCAAAACCCAATCTGTTCGGAGGCTTTATATTCGTCTGTCTCACCTTGTCTCTGGCGAGACTATAATTCTGCAAATCATCCGTAGCGGAACCACCAGAAGTCGGTTGAGAAGTTTATGTTTTCTCAACTGGAAACTGCTCGAAATCCACCACTATCATGTCTTTATTCTGCTACAACATGAACTGTTCATCAAAAACAACATCTCTACTGATCATAATTTTCTTCGCAGCTGAATCCCAGAACTTGAATCCTTTGATACATTTCTTGTAACCCAGAAAAATGCACTCCTTCAATTTTGCATCAAGTTTGGATCTCTCATCAGCATGTACATGCACATAAGCAGGACAACCAAAAATCCGTAAGTGATCAAAAGTAACATCATGACCAGTCCATGCCTCTTTGCAACTTTCCCAGCAAATAATGCCCTTGGCGATCTATTGATAAGGTATCATGTCATGTTAACAGCCTCAACCCAGAAGTGTTTGGGAGCCCCGCATTCAACCATAAACATCTGGCTCTTTCATTCAACGACCCGTTTATCCGTTCCACAACACCATTCTGTTGTGGTGTCTTGCGCACTATAAAATGTCTTTTAATCTCATGCTCATTACAGAAGTTTAGAAACTGTGAATCTGTGTACTCCATACCATTTTCAGACCGCAAACACTTGATTTTTCGTCCTGTTTGGTTTTTTACCTCAGCTTTCCACAGCTTGAACTTCTAAAAAACGTCAGACTTTTGTTTCAAAAAAAACCCAAACTTTTCGTGAAAAATCGTCAATAAAAGTAGCATAATACCTAGATCCACCCAAATACGATGTCGTGGAAGGCCCCCAAACATCAGAATGCACATAATCAATAATCCCTTCAGTTGTGTGATTCCCAGTCTTGAAATGAACTTTATTCTGTTTACCAAGAACACAATGTTTACAAAAATCGAGCTAACAGCCTTTAACATCATGTAACATATTTTGTTGAAAACATTTTGATGTTTCGATATAACAAATTAAATGTTATTGGATTCCAAGATTTTCTAATCATTTTCAAATATATATTCGATCAAACTATTTGAATATCAAAATATTAATCCAAGTTTTTCAAATGTCAAATTCAATTCTTACTCAAGTGTAAAAGTGTGTTTTAATATTTTAAACAATTTTACAAAGTATTTCGAGCCTTTAATCAAGCCAAAAATATTTTCTTAATAAATCTTAAACTGAAAAACCAGATTGCCCAGAGCGTACCAATACCCACCCAAGAGGGTACCAATACCTCCATATAAGATTTGGCTTCGAGAAACAACAGATTGCTTGGATGGTACCGATACCTCCATCTCATAACGATCAAAATATTTGAATTTTACACAGCAGGGTACCGATACCCTATGCAGGGGTACCGATACCCCCAACGCTCCAAGCTGATTTATTAATTGTTTTCATACACTAACAGCTTTATTAACTCCACTAATGATCCCCAACGTTCAAAAATGATCCAAGGAGTATTTAAACAAGCTTAGAAGCCATTGATCAACAACAATCATCAAGAATCAAGAGAGAATCAAAGAGAAAGCATCAAACCTCAAGTTTGAGCATTTTTTAAGCCTATTCCATTCAATATTCATTTTTGCTTTCAAGACACTTATTGTGCTCAATTGTATTATTCTTGAGTGTTCTTTCTTTGTTCTAGAATTGTGCAAACATCTTTCCTTGTGAGGATTTTCTTGTAAGTTTGCAAAATTTGTATTGTTCTCTTTGGTAGAGAGTGTTCTCAAGAATTTTGGGGTATAATTCTTGAGGGATTTGTAAGGTTACTCTTTGTCCTCAAAAGAAAGACAAATCAGTGAATTTGTGTAAAATCCTTAGTATGGATAGCAAAGGTAGTGGACGTAGACTTTGGTTGAGAAAGTCGAACCACTCTAAATCGCTGTACAAATATTTTCAATTTTCTGCAAAAGCTTTCACCGAAATTTTTATTGCTAATTCAACCCCTCTTGGCCTATTTCGTCGATCGATTAACTCAATAATTGATATCAGAGCCTCACTCATTTGAAGGTTTAATCACCTCTTGAGTCGATTCGGGAAGAGTTACATCGATAATCAAGTCATCAATGGCCTCCACTTCAAACCACGACTTCGATCTTGATTCATTGCCCATCTACAAGTCTCCTTTCTTCAATGGAGGTAATTATGCTATTGGAAGAATAGAATGATGTATTTCATTCAAGCAAGTGACATGGAAGCATGGAATATCATAGAAGACGAATATATCAAACCTTTCACTCATCCAAGATTGTGGAATGAAGGAAAGATAAGAATGTTCAAGGTCAACTCCAAAGCTATCCATATTATTTTTTGTGCTCTTGGACCGGATGAATACGAGAGAGTTTCATCTTGTACAACTTCCAAGGAGATATGAGATAAACTACAAGTCACTCATGAAGGCAAAATGAGGTAAAAGAATCTAAAATTAGTCTTCTAACTCATAGCTATGAAAATTTCAGGAAACCGGATGAAGATATCAAAGCTATGACGGATAGATTTTCCACGATTTCAATGGTCTCAAATCATTTGGAGAGATCATTCTAAATGAGAAGCTTGTGAGGAAGTTAGTTTACTCTTTTCCAA